ATCCCTCACCAGCAGGCCTGCACTTTTCATCAACTCGTAAAGTTTAACACAACACGCTGGAATGTTATTCCATCTATAGAGCTTTAATCCTGTTTGTAAACGGATAAACACAAACCTAATTGAGCCCAGTTTGAAAAAATGTATGGAGACAGAAAGACTATGTAGTGGATTCTGTGCAAACTAGGAACGAATATTGGGTGTGGGCGCATTTGGAGTGTGTGTGTGTGTGTGGGTTTGATTGCTTGCGGCTGCTGAATGAAAGCAGTTGGAGATGGAGTGTGAGAGACAGAGTGAAAGAAAATGAGAGAAAGAGAAGGAAAACAGATGAATAAAGACAAGAAATAGCCTGCCATGCCAGCCCTGGTCAACCACCTACTCACTTGCAGAACCAGAACTGCAAAGCCTCACAGTGAGCCTGAATGTGTGTGTGTGTGTGTGTGTGTGTAGGTGTATGTGTATGTATGTGTGTGTGTGTGTGTGTGTGTGTGTGTGTGTGTGTGTGTGTGTGTGTGTGTGTGTGTGTGTGTGTGTGTGTGTGTGTGTGTGTGTGTGTGTGTGTGTGTGTGTGTGTGTGTGTGTGTGTGTGTGTGTGTGTGTGCATGCATCCATGTATCAATGCTCCCATACACATCAAACGCTGGATAATTCAATCACGCAAACCACAATCCTCTCAGTGGAGACGCCACATTCAGGGCTCTCCTCCTCCTCCTCCTCTTTCTCCTCCTCATCTTTGTCCACAAGAAAGGATGTCAGGGCTTCTTCCGCATGCACTTAACATTATACCGCTCCCCTCTCCGCTGCCATTACCAGCAAAACAACAAAACAACCACCAACTCTGTCAACTCAGCTCTTAATCACCCTAGATACGAAACAGACATGCGATCGAGGGAGGGAGTTGCTTTACAAAGACAAACCTTTGGTCCCATCAGACTGGATTCTGAAACCTTAAATCAGGCTTAGGATGCACACAAACATGGATAGGCGCCGTTTGAACCGTTACATATGGATTTCAGGAATAAGCCGAAAGCAGACAATAAATAATGAACATTCGGGGAACGGGACTTTGAATTGCCTCCCGTCTGTCGCGTCATTCCTCATATATCCTTACGTTACAGCAGGAATGATGACTTGCATTGAAGTGGAAGATGGACATTTGAGTTAGGATAATTTACAGAAAATCAGAGATTAAAGAAAAAATAATTACATCAGAGTCACTGCCCTCTGCTGGAGGACAGATGTCAAAAGGTTAAACACAAGCTCATAAAGTGCAATACTGACACACGAAAACAACGCACAGTCTCCAAACAACATCTGGCTCACGTGAGATGCCCTCATACCCGCGAACACACATGCGTAGAGATGCATATGCAGAACACAAGCAACGCCTGGTGACAGCTGCGACTTCTGCTGAATTTCCTCCAGCCCTCCCATCCTCCATCCCCCTCCCACCCTCCCTCCTCTGCTGCGAGTCTTCACTCTGCACCCAGGCCACAGGGTGAGTATCAGGTGAGGTTTTAAATAGCGGGGCCTCCGCAAGATGACCTCAGGGTCCCAGGGGTCTACCCCCGTGGCCCCTGGCCTCTACACTTATGTCCCCCCCAAGAAAACGCTCCGGGACCTGGGCCTCCTCTCAGTCTGTAGCCTCGAGGCTACAATCCGTAGCCCTGTGCCCCCAGCCCGGCCAATAAATCTGCAGAACTCATTTCAAGTTGAATCGCTCACACGTATCTCTGTGTCCGCGACGAACGCATGCTACGGGCCCCGTCCTCTCCTTGGTCGATGCTAAAGCTACAGGCTTTAGCATCCCCCCCCCAGTTTCAACTTCAACCCCTTGCCCGGAGCTTGAGCTTCAAAAGCCCCGATTCCAAACGTTCTCCTGCCTGTACCTTCTCTCACCCATCAACACGGACCCCTTAGGTCCTCTGTCAGCACAGAAACCGAACGAAGGAGCGTGGGGGCCGTCCTACAGGAAGGCCAATGTTTACGCGATACTGTTTTAATTAGAGGCAGGCGGCGCCGCTATTTTCTTTACAATTTGGCCTGTGTTTGCCTGAAACCCAGAATGCCATGGGATGGCTCCGTTTTCCATTCGTGGCCAGGAGGAACTTTCTTATTCCTCTCCTCTGTGTCTCTGCTCCCTGAACGTGGCTTATGGCTAATCACCGCAGCATCATCGAGAATCATCTGCAATCTGAAACCAAGGACGCATCTGAAGTCAAACGCGGGCCAATGTAGGCATGCGGTCGGACATTGAGGAAAGCACACAGACGAGGGGGGAAGCTGGAGGCCACAATACTACAACTTCCTGTTTGAGCCCATAGTTTCCTGTGAGGGTCACAGTGGACACAAACGCAGCGTTTATCTGCAGTGTGGATGCCATCTTCCCTAAATACACGCCACTGTCAATTGCATGTGGTCTAGGGAGGAAAAAAAGATTTTAAAAGATAAAAAAAGCGTTCTCTAAATGTTTAGCAAAACACAAACCCCCATACATCCTTGTCGGTTTGACACAATCGCCTCTTTGTGCAGACGTGCGTCTCACTCCCCATTGGTCTCTGTCGCTTTGTCTAATAAACAGAACTTCCTGTGTCTGAGTGTTTATAAACAGTGTGCTGAGTGAGCACTGTGAGAAGGGACGATCCCTGTGAAAGCTGCTGCACGTGACAGTGCGCAGAATAAACACGCCAGTCCGCTGCGGTTTACGCGGCTAATAGGTGGTCTGCCGTAAACCTCGGCACCGGCTAGAAGGCAGGTGACGACGGACACGTTTGATTTGAGAGATCTAATATGAGCTGGGTGTATTGTGTGTGCGTGCGTCCACAGGCCACACAGCTTCCAGGCGGGGTCGTCCACGGGTCGCCTGCGGAGGGCAGTTCCAAATGAAACATAAACAGCCGCTCAGTCCTCTCCTGCTCTCTCTCCTCTTTTTCCTCTCAGACGATGGGCCAGTCCCCCAGCACGGCCCAGCACAGCGCTCAGCGGTCCAGGCAGAACTGATCTATCCCTCAGCTGTGCAGTCTAATCTAAACAAACAGATCTCTCCCTATCAACATCTGGAACCCCTCACGTACCGGGGACCTAGGAAACCACCACAGCCTAGTCTCTTTGTCAGTGTGTGTGTGTGTGTGTGTGTGAGCAGGTCTCTGTGCATTGGCCACGTTGTAGACATCTACCAGAGGTTAATAGGCTTGGTTCAACATAAAGCTAGCCTGTTCTGACAATACTAAAACGTGATGCTGTAACTTGGGTGAAACACTAAAGAGTAAAGTAAGGGCCAAGCAAAAAGAAAGGCTATACAACAATTTAATCATCAGTTATGTGCCAGTAAAATTGATGTAAATGCCACAGCTAATAGTGCAAGGGGGCTGGTGGATAACAAATATCCAATATTTTTAATACCTGACTAATCTTTTAGTGCAATAACAAGAACAATGCTAAATACCAATCACAAATTAGCGGGACCTGAATTTTTCCTTTTCTGACATACACAAAACAGGGATTTCTTCCTAAAAATCCATCCAAAGTATATTTTTTGGGGAGTATATGAGACATTTTATCCCCTGTAGACTTAAAATATGGATGTAAAAAGGTTTGCAGTTTGCTGCTTCATGATGCAATGCAGCTGCAGTCAGCTTGAATTCATGACAATTGCAATGTCTTTCAATGGGGGGGGGGTACGTTTTCAAAGTGCCACAAAGCATAAGCATCGTGCATCATGTACTTCTCTGTTGTCCTTCCGTGTGCTCAGTATGCTCCAAACGATATAGTATATTTCAGCACGGGTCTGTCATAACAGACCCCTCACCGCGGTGCACATGACCGCCGGTCTGACATGTGAAAAGAGGGTGTGAAAACAAGTGTGTTCCTCTGGCGACAATCAGGAGCCCTGTACTGAGGAGGCTCCCCTCCTGCCTAAACCTGAGCCATCTGCGCCTGCGCCACAGATTAGAAGAACAGGTCAGACCCCTGCAGCAGCACGCAAGGGGAGAACAGCCAACCCGGGGACGAGGTGGGGTGTTTGATCCGTCTGCTTTAATGCTTGATCTCATGAGCTGCTATACATATTTTTGTGTGTGTTTATTTGAGGGAAGGAAGGTAAAATGGGATGAAACCAGAAAAAAAGGCGAACACGCAAACCTGACAACGACTACTATTTTGTTTCTTTTTTTCATGACCAAAAGAAAATACTTTTTTTCAGTTATTCATGACTCCCACAGCCGACTCTAGCCCCTAAGTGCAGGAATGCGGATCAAAGGGAAGGAAAAAAGCACGGCCCCTTACCCCTTACCCCCCCCCCCCCCCCCCAAAGCACCACCCATACGCACAGTCCCTCTTTTTTTTCCTTCAAGTGTTCAGTCTTCATAAGTTGTTTCTGAAGAAAAAACAACAACAACGATGAAGAGTGAGTGAGCGGCCCATCCACTCCACAAACATGAGTTCCTGTCCTCACTCCGCTTTTTCCCTGCAGCCGGAGACAAATCTTTTCGGAAAGTTGAGAGCTGTCCAAAACGGGACCACACACAGTCTCTGAGCATTCAACTGCTGGGGGCAGGCACACACACACACTCACACACTCTCACAAAATGGCGGCTTTGACGAAAATTTCCTCGACCCCGAAAGCTGCTTTATGAACTTAATTACGACCTTACTTCGGAGTGCAGTTGCAGTGACCTCTTGCACGGCTTGTGTGTGCATCCAACGTGGTTTTGGAATCAGAAGAGGCATAAATTCAATAGATAAATGAAATTATTTTCAAGTTTCACTTGGCCACTTGCCAGGACCTAAACAATAAACAAACCCCCTGACTTGTTTAGTAGCAGAATCAACCCACTCTTCCAATCTAAACCATCCCACGCAGTTTCCAAACACGCAATATGGAATTGCATAGCTTCAAAAGCACTGAAAAAAAAACAGAACAGTTCTGGCATCTTACATTCAAACACACACAAAACCAGATAGACTTGTCACAAACAGCCAATAATGAATCAGAAGTGTCTTACCTTCCACCCAGAGTTTCTCCACGTCCGTCTCCAAATTAGCTGCCCTTAAGCCCACGGCGAAGGCTCCAAAAATCATAAGGCCCACGACCAAAAACTTTCCGCAGTTCTTTTGTATGTAACAGCCCAGCCTGAATAAAAGTCTCTGGAACTTCGCCCTCAGCCATAGAGGTGCTTTCCTCCCAGTCGCCTTCCCCTACAACGAGACAAGAGTCCTGATGTCAGCGTCAATTCAAACCCAAAAACATTGGACTTACCTGGACAGACACTACCTGTAGGCTTTAAAGAGAAGCGGTTTGATTGTTAGACAGGCAAAGACATGACAACCACAGGTGGACCCAAGTGTGTTTAAGTCAAAGAGTCCTCAAAATATCTGACCCAAGGAACCTCATCGGAGAAGGCTGGCTGTTAGGATTCGCTTTAAGACCGCAAATACATTTATAAAAAGGGGTCCCAGAGCGAAAATGGGAGCTGTGATCAAAACCACAATTCAAACACATTCACCGCCTCACTCTGCTCGCTGACCTGTGATGGCTGAAACGCACGCATCTGCCGAGGACCGCCGAGAAACCACCCAGGACTCCCCAGAGTGAGAGCCACAGGTTCTGTCATATCGGTAACACATATAAACAACATATAAAAGGGAAGAGATCTTCATCCCCTACAGGGTACCCCCCCCCCCCCCACCACCACACACACACACACACACACACAGAGCCTGGTCCCTTTTCTGTCATTTCGCTGGTAGAGCGAGGGGTTATGAAGATGCTAATACAGACACACTGACATTAGGGTGTCACAGGTGTGTGTTGCTGTGCTCCAAAATGGATTTGCAGCTGGATCTCCAGAGACGATGGAGGTAAAAGACAGTTATACACTAGGTGGCCTTTTTGATAATACGCCTCTCCCGTGTCCCTGTTTCACACAGAGACATCCTTATTTAAAAACAATATAGCCTGGAACCCTTCTTTGGATGCATAATCATGCTGTAAAATAGCACAGCATGGTCCCTATGACTAGACTGAAGAAGTATAATAAAGGCATTGGTCCCCACAATGTGATCAATTTGGAGAGTGCTGTGATTTGTCACCGACACCCACACACACACACGCATACATCAAACGTTGATTATAAACACCGTGAAAAGGTGCATGTGGTAAAAACCCACAAATACCACCACACACAACTCCCACTCCGCGTGTGTTCTCCAGCCTGTGCACGGGGGAGTGGAGGAGCCATCACGGGGGGGGGGGGGGGGGGGGGGGGGGGGGGGGGGGACTCACAATATTTGTGAACGGAAGAGGGCAGCCACATGGATTATTTTTTGTTCTTTTCTTCACCTGTTAACGCGAGTCGCCTAAGTTGGGAGACTGTCACACACACAAAAAAACTCAATTTAACCACGAAAATTAAAAAAATATATATATTATTATTATGCAGTTTACAGAAAATAACGTCCAGCTGTCTTGTTATGAAAACTGCCAGTGACGGGGTTAGTGTGGACCGCGAGAGAAAGCTGCATGTTTTGCCCTCGTCTGTCTCGAGACCCGTTACGATTTGGGATGTGGTGATCGCGCGTGCGACTACAACTTGTTTTCACATCCTAAAAAAAAAAAAAAAAATAGAAGCCGGGTTGCACGAGAACGGTGTAAAATGTTGCTGAAGTTTCCGTTCTCTACAACCTTGCCTTACCCCCGTGTCCCCCCCCACACCCCCTGCCCAGCCCGTCCCGTCCCGTTACCTAGCAGCGACTGGACATGGTTTGGCCACCTTTTTTTGTGTCGGCAAATACAATGAAACCAACACCATAAAGCTCCCCGGTTAAGAGATGAGAAATAAGCACCTGGGTTATTTGCTCCAAAGCAAAGCTCGCGTCGCAGTAACTCGGCCGCTGCAAATACTCCAAATCCAGCGGTGCGTTGCGGGTATAGTCCCCCCTGTTCCTCCGCGTTATCCTCGGCCGATCGGGGTCTCTGTTTTCCTGCTCGGAGGGCGCATTAGCAGCCGAGGCCATGTTGCGGGGACTGCGAGACCGTTTCCCACTTTAGAGTACCTCCCCGAAAGCGTGCAGCGATATCCCAAGGCAACGGAGTTTCACTCTCGGAGATCTCACACCCGCGAAGTAGGACTTCATACTCCTGTTGGAGACGGCGAGTCAAAGTCTGCGCCTTCCATCCCAACATTTCGCGATCCGGAGGTCTCCGCCGCTTTCACCGCATTCACCGTGTCTCTTCCACACACAAAAAGTAGGGTTCTCTCAAAAAGCGTAGTGCGCAAAGTGATTCCCATACACAAGTCGTCGGGTAAGAAACCTCGATGGTCGTTGCATTCTGGTGAGATCTATGTGGTCTTCCCCCTGGGCCGCGCGTCACGGCCAACTCTGAGATTCAATAGAAGAGGAGAAAAAGACCTCTCTCCATTTGGAGGCAGGAGGAGGAGGGGTGAAGAGAGAGGGAGAGAGAGAGAGAGAGAGAGAGAGAGAGAGAGAGAGAGAGAGAGAGAGAGAGAGAGAAAAGACTGGAGATCCCGCCTCTGGGGCTGTCAGATTGCAGGACTTTCTTGGATCTGATTGGTTCCAGAAGGGCAAAAATTACTCAGCAAACACAACTATTATTAGCTGCTTAGCAACAGCTCACTAAAGTAGAGAGACCACCCAGGCGGGGAGACCTCATGTGTGCATCTCCAACTTCAGGGGAGGCTCGACGAGGGCCAACCCCGCTCGGTGCGTTTGGTTGTTCTGGGTTTCTACGCAGCGCGCTGTCGCCAGAGAGAGGCATTTCCCAGAGATAGAGGACCTGAAGTCGGAGGAAAGGTACGCGGTTTGAGCGACGGAAGGGGGCAGAGGAATGTCTGAACTGCAATTTTAAACTTTTATTTTTTTTTTTCTTCTACCGCCACCATGATGCTGCTGGTAGTTGAGCCTCAAATTACAGCGGTTCAAGGGGAGGTCCTACAGAATGATGTCGTTACAATGTCAGCCCCGCTATAGCGCATAGACTCAATGCAATTGATACTTTTATGTGGCCTCATTTATTTAGAAGCTTGTTTGTACAAATAGCAGGGATACATCCAAAATTATTATAGTTAATAAATAAAGTTATGGTCACAATGATAAAAACAAAACAAACAGCGTTCCCCCAACTATGGCTGCATGTCAATCTGTAGACACAACCCAACAACATTCAACATGCAAAACAATCATCTTTTGACATAATTAGTAAACATAAATATAACTTTTGCACCTAACGTGTGCGGCGTGAAAAGCTCTGACACTTGAAATTGTTCCCTCTGCCAGAAGATGAGTCAAATTTAGCTAATTGCTGATTAAAAAACAAGCGCATATCCAAGGATTTAAAGTCTTGTCAGGTTAAAGAAATATGAACATATCAATATGTTCAAAACAACATCTGCTTCCCCAAATGTCACTATCTTAAATCCTCATGACGCCTAAACAATAGACAATTAGATCTAAGAACTATTAAATATTTGTAACTTTTCTTTAAAAAAGAAAAGTACTGTCTTAATGGAACAGGCTTAACAAAACAAACACATTGACTGCTAGTTAGCCCGTGTGGCCGCTTTAATGGGATCTCTCCGCTGTTCAAACTTCACACCTGGGCCACTCCGCGCTCAGCAGCGGCTCGTTTGGCGGCCAGCCGCGCGCACTTACCATCTTCAGTTCAGGTGGGGAGAGCTGTCAGAACAAATCCGTGATATCCACCCCCCGTGGAGACCGACACGTGTCCGTCACGAGGAATACAAAAATACCTGCTTTATTGTTGCGAGGAGAAAAGAAGTCACATTGTAATCCATCTTGGTCGCAGGCATCGCGCTATCAATTACTTGGCTGTTCCTTTTTTCGCCACGTGGGTGGTCCCGTTCGCTTCATAGGCCGGACTCTTTGACTGTCACGTGATTAGCCCAAAATTGTAAACAGTACCAACCCATGCACGGCAGCATCCCACACGCTAAGAGAGGAAGATGGCACAGAGTCCCACGCACTGCAAACAATGTCGTCACACACCTGTGCATGCACAGGTCCACACACAGATACATGTATGCATACATTTTACACAAACACGTGTGAATATATAAACTATTTTATTTGCTTATGAAGAAATGCACACATGGCTCAGACATACAAAATGTGGAGGTGTATGTGCACGCGAAATGTACATTACAATTATGATGAAGCTTGCGCACACATTACCAATTCACATATTTAATATTCAGGGATAGCTTCTTAAAACTGACTGCTATTGTCTGAAAATAGACACCCAAATGATCACCAGAATGCCATTTTTTAGCAAATACATTTTTTTTCTCCTGTACTGTTTTATTTGGTCAAAATCAAACTTTAGGATTTAACTGTAGTCTATTCCTCCTTTGGCTCAACCCTTGTCAGAGAAGCTCAAATGGTGTCTGATAAGTGCCACGTTTTTTTTTTTTATACACAAGGTTATCCATTCACTTTAACATAAATACTTTTCTTTGGATAAAGTTCTTTTGGAGGGTTGGCTGCAGCAATAATGTCACTTCAGTGGCATCAGATATCCATGGTGTGGTGTCTGAGTAGGAAAAAAGCGTCTCAAGGAGGACAAAGTGGGCTACGATGCCCCCTAACGCCCCTCAACAGAGCCAGGCCTGTCTTACAGCCAGCAGGAGTCGTAACTGCTGCACCGTGTCTGTGCTAGACACGTTCAAGTTGTTGTCGTGACGGGAACGCTGCAGGACTCCATCAAAGTGCCCTTAGGTCATCGTGGAACATGGTCCTCCTCTACGAATACTGTAGCGTGTAGGCTGTAAAGATATGCCAGTAAACATTCTCTGGGAGATTATATTGCAAGCATCTGCATGAACTAATGAAATACTTGTGCACATAAGATGCCAAGACACCCTTGACCAAACATGAGCATATTTCCTTTTTTTTAATTTTTTTTTATTAATTCACCATCATGTGGTAATATGGATCAGATGGACTCATTGTTCACTTCAGGAATTATACCAAGCAGTGAGAAATGTATTACAAATTAGTTTTTTTTTCATTTCATTCAGTTTGGATTTCAGACTTTTGTTAATAGAGGGCAACTATCTTAAAAGCAGATTCATAGCTGCCTCATGCATGTTTGGCAAAGCTTTCTTTTGTTTTTGGGATAAAAAAAATACAGAAACAATTTAAAAGAGGCAATAAAATGTTTGGTTGTTATCTATTTCAATAAAAAGAGAATTAAAACGTGATTAGAAATGTGTACAATAGTACAAACACTGATTGAAAGAATCAAAACGTATTGTAAAATGAGACATTTAACAGCTTGTCACTCATCTGCTGTGTCATAGAACAGAAAGGATTGGTTGATATACAGCCTCTCCATCCAGAGTATTTCTTGCCTTTCTTTGTCTGATATGATACTACACTTTTTATATTTAATGTATAGAGCTAACAACAGTTGTCGAGACAGACACTTTGATTCCAAACAAGATACGTTGACAGCAGCTGATTGCTGTGGCAATGGCTTTAGCTGTATCCATCACTTCCAGAGGATACATTTTCATATTTTTATTGATGTTCTTATCTTTTCTTTAGTGCCACCATCAAACCTACTGTCAACATTTTGCACCGTCTCTTATAAAAGGCAGGTTTTTCATTAAACTGGCGGAGCACATTGAAGATTTACAAGACAACATTTGATTTAATGACCCTGTGACCTTGCGCCACCTTCAGGAAAATCGTAAAATTTAAACTCCATTATTCTGAAAACTCTAAAAATTGCAAAGTCTTCAGTAAGTGATTTGATCTTTTGATATTAGTTCTAAACTTAATAACAATAAAGGTGATAATGTATTCCAACAACATCGCGAGTCAAAGCCTACTCTCCAAACCATGTGTAGTTAAAAAAATGAACCACCATTTATTAAACTCAGCAAGCTTCTTAGTTGAGTTATGAATGGAAAGGATGGTGCAGCTGAGTTTGCCAGCCATCATAAGGCTGGAGTGGCTGGAGTGACAGAGGAGTGGTGCTCGGTGATCAGGCAGCAAGAATGAGAAGAGAAGAGTGAAAGAATGAATGCAAACAAAGCACACCTCGTTATTGAAAACAAATGTACTATCCCAATTAAGTAAGAATGTCTCTCTCTCTCTCTCCTTCCCTCTCTCTCTCCCCTACCGCTATCTATTTTGTAAGAGCCCCGTCGCTGCACTCTGGGCTTAGAGCCGCCCCAAGACAAATGCGATCGGTTTAAAGGAGACGAGCCAAAACACTTTTTTTTCTGCATTTTGTTTTACCAGAATCAGACCTTTCTTTAGCGCTGACACTATGCTGTGACTATGCAATGCACTTCACTAAATCATATTTTCAAATCGGTGCTGATGGACTCGTAGGAATGTTGCCGTGTTCCCAGATGTCCCAGATGACCAATTACTTTGGTGAGAATATTATCACAAGTAGAAATGATTGCATGTTTGACCCAAGTTGTATTTAACTGGAATTGTCCTTTTAAGATGTGTGTTTCTATCTGCATATGTATTTACTAGAAAACCTCCCTGTCAGTGCACCTCCACAATATCTCTGATTGGAAGCACAATGCAGGTATACCATTTCCTCCTCCTCCATCTTGACCCAGCTGCCGGCTCCCCTCTGGTCCACCATGGCTGCCGCCTGTGAAGCAGTAGGGGCTGAATGCACGGCAAGAGCCCGCTGGAATGTTTATGCTTGGGCTCAAGGTTGTCTTCAATCAGACACAGAGCTGTTTGACAGCTTGCAGCACCGCCTGGCCTCTGTTTACCTCACCCAATTTCCAGCTGGCTTTGTGCGCACAATCAGAGCAGCTCAGAGAGGATTCAAGAGGGCAGTCGCACCATACCCCATCCAGCAGCAACACAGAGAGCTGGACCAAAGGCGTCATGATGTGATACAGAAAATGCTAGTGTTTGACTGGTTTAATCAGAAAAGGCAAACAATAAAAGGTAAATAATTCAAGTTGATTTTGTATTTCTTGTGGTCCTTTAAGATCGTGAACATTGTTCTTTTGGAAACATGACAAATGCAATCATACTGATACGGCAAAGAAATGAGGGTTTACAGAAAGTGAGTGTGCACAATATTCCAGAAGATGATATCTTTGTTTCAACCTATATGTTGTCACATATTTTGATACATGATGTATCTGATACCCACACGATAAGGTCACGTTTGACAAAAAAGAAAAAGAAAAGTGTTCCTGACAGAAAGGGAGTGATACAAAGCTCCAAATCTCAGATGAATATTGATTTTGATTTGAGGGTATTTAAGCACTTTTAAGTCCTTCCGGTCTTAATTGGGCAACGCAGTCCACTTCGCTGTTTGGCCGACATTTACTTTGAGATCCGGGACAGACAATGTTGGAGCTGGTCTGATATTTAGACAAGGCAGCGGTCTGTTCT